TAAATACAGCTAGGGAACCTGATTCTGTGTGTGCTCAGAATTACTGTGGGTGGGAGGTGGGCACAGAAGGGTTTATCCTTGGGCTGTGAGGTGGTATGGAGGGGAAAGGTGGTAAATTTGAACGGATCCTACAATGAATTGGCAGGCAGCGGAGAGGCCTGAGGAGGGGCATGATGCTTTGATACGTCAAAGAGAAATGCAGTGTGTGCGCTTTATGTCACAGTTCACAGCAGTATGCAGTGCACTGAGGGCCCAGTCATGGCTTACTCTTGCTTGGGTGATGTGAGGGGGAGGAAGGCTTTTCTTATCCTTAGTACCACTAATGTGCACACCATAATGTGGCTGCCTACAGTGCCTGACTGCAGAGGGGGCTGCTAGCGCTGCTGGTAGCCCTGAATGGACTGGAGGGGAGTAAGTCAGTGCAGACTGTGGGAGTGGAGTGTAGCAATGACCCATTTCCCCACTGCACACTAAACAGTGTATGGAGCTCTGTGCTTTGGAGACTGCACCCCACACCTTTTCTAAGCATGTAGCTGAGGCTTCTGGTGAGCACGACCCTAGAACTATTGGGCCCATTCCAAAGTCCGCTGAAGTTGCTGGGGAGTCTTTCTGTTGAAGGCTCCACTTTTTACGCCCTTGTCACTTTGACTATCAGCCTCCCTCACTCAGGCTATGTCTACACTACCGCGGTAAGTCGACCTACGCTATGCAACTCCAGCTACGTGAATAACATAGCTCAGGGGTAGGCAACCTATGGCACGCGTGCCGAAGGCGGCACACAAGCTGATTTTCAGTGGCACTCACACTGCCCGAGTCCTGGCCACCGGTCCGGGGGGCTCTGCATTTTAATTTAATTTTAAATGAAGCTTCTTAAACATTTTAAAAACCTTATTTACTTTACATACAACAATAGTTTAGTTATATATTGTAGACTTATAGAAAGAGACCTTCTAAAATGTTAAAATGTATTACCGGCACGCGAAACCTTAAATTAGAGTGAATAAATGAAGACTCGGCACACCACTTCTGAAAGGTTGCCGACCCCTGACATAGCTGGAGTCAACATACCTTAGGTTGAGTTACCGCGGGATCTACACTGCGGGGGGTCGACAGGAGAAACTCTCGACTCACCTTACTCTTCTCGTTGGGGTCGACTGGAGAGCGATCTGCCGTCCATTTGGCGGGTTTTTACTAGACCCGCTACATCAGTCGCCAGTGGATCGATCTCAGAGCGTTGATACTGGCTGTAGTGTAGACCTGCCCTCAGGTGGAGCTCCTCCTCCTCCCCATCATGGCTCCAACTCTAAGACCCTTAATTACCCCCCAAGTGTCCTTTAAGGCGAACTCTGGCACTAATGCTCATACTATTACAAGGATCTCACTGCTGCCTTCCTCACTGCCGGCAGCAACATTCTGAGAGTCCCTATGAAGAAATGGTCTCTGACTGGATGATTTTTAAAATTATTCATGAATGATGCACCCTATATTAACTCTCTGGGAAGTGTGATCATTGAGCCAATGTTCAGCTCAGTCAGCGGTACCTTTGTTGGAGGAAGCAAGGCGTTCTTAATTGTTGTTGTAATGGGAGTGGAAGCACAGGGACACAGGGGGGAGGGAGGTGCAGGGACACATGATGATGCGGGAGTGCAGCGCTACATAGGGACAGGGGGTGGCTGGATGGGGGCACAGAGACACGGGGACAGGGGTAGAGGGTATAGGGACACATTGGGATGGGGGGTGCAGGGACACATGGGGATGGGGGGAGTGGGTGTCTGAGTGGGGGGTGGACGCACACATGTGGACGGGGGGGTGCAAAGACACATGGGGCAGGGGCAGATGTTTCTGACTGAATGGGAGGGGCTAGGGGTCAGCAAGGGTCTGCATGGGGGAAGCTCCCTAACAATCCCTCTCTGCCCCCCCCCCCAAAACCTGTTCCATACTTTTCCCACCCATACCCAACAACCCTCAAAGTTCACACCCAGGCTCCCAAGTTCACAGCAATTTACTTCCCTCTCCTTCAGCTCCTCCGTTACCCCTGACTCCCCCAAGCCTTTGCACTGCTTCTGAGAGGTGCAGGAAATACGGTTCTGTATTGTAGTTTAAATGAATTATTACTCAGAGTTCTGTATTAATATGCCGAGTAAGGAATCTATTTGTCAAAAAACATTTCTTGAATCATTTTTGTTGTCTGTATTGTTACAGACATACTTGCTGACAGGTATTTTGAAATAAATGACCAAAAATAATTGAAACTGGTGTGATTATATTGTGTTATTTTGACAAATAAAATATGCAGAATTTTAAAATATTGTGCACAGAATTTTTAATTTTTTGTTGCAGAATTCCCCCAGGAGTATTGTGTGATAATGTGCAACAAGTACCCTGTGACTTTGACCTGGCTCATCATGAACTTACCCAGGAACTCAAAGTTCCCCAGTTATCAAAATCCAAGTTGGCAGGAGAGGAGCATTTCCATTAAGATTTTTTTGTTAACCAGAAAATTTCTGAAAGGCCAAATATTTACATATCAGTGGGGACACTGATTTACAGTGCACACCAGTAAAACAGGCAACATTCACAGCACCTGACATTTTATTCTGTAATTTTCCCGGCCCAGAATGACTGTCAAGAGTCTGTTTTTGGCACCATAAGTCATGTGTGAATAAGAAAAATTTAAATAAAAAAATGAACCCAACAGACTTTTCAGCACAATTTGTTATCCAGTCACCAACTGCGGGTCTCCCTATCATCATGTTTCTGATACAATTACAAGGGTTTTCCCTCCTGTCTTGCTGTTTATAATTCCTTTGCTATGCTCAGTAAATATATACGCCTCTACCTAGATATAAAGCTGTCCTCGGGAGCCAAAAAATCTTACTGCGTTATAGGTGAAACCGTGTTATATCGAACTTGCTTTGATCCACCGGAATGCGCAGCCCCTCCCCCCCCAGAGCGCTGCTTTACTGCGTTATATCCGAATTCGTGTTATATCGGGTCGCGTTATATCAGGGTAGAGGTGTATATATATATATATATATCAACATTCTATTTCTACTGTTTTCCAATATCCACCTTTCTTTCTCTGCCCAATGGTATGTCTGCTTCTGTGGTCTGCAATTCTCTTTAGTCTACTGATTCAAAGCCCCATAAAGTCAAGGACAGGCTTTCCATTGACATCAGCAGACACTGGATTAGGGCTTTGATGAAAGAGATCCAAAATCTAAGGTAGTTTAGAACATGGGTTCTCAACTTGGAGTGGGGGCGAGTCATGGCAGAGTTGCAACTACCAACCCTTTCTTTATGACTAGTTGTAAGAGAGTCCCAAAATATTTGTGTGCTGTAACAAGGGGCCACGTTATGGAAAAGGTGCAGCATCACTGGTTTAGCAATTGGCAGGCACTCGAACCAGTCAAAAAAATGTCATCAAAATGTTTGTTCAAAGAAAAGTGGCTTTTTGACCAAAGTAAATGTTTTTTGCTGAATAATCACTAAAATAGCACAACCATGCTGTGAAACCAACGTTTTGTGAGCTCAGAACATGGCTCATTCATTATGTTAGGGTTTTTGCAGACTCGGGGAGGCCATATGGGTTATATACTATTCTATATAATTTCTTACATTGCTTTCATAGGCATAGTATCTGCGCACCTTCCAGTGGTGCATTATGCTACAACTACACATCTGTCACATGTGGTTCATTCTCTCTCTCATCCTCTCCCCAAAGGGACAATTGCGTGTGCAGTGGAGTGTTTCGTTTTCGTAGCGCTTTGATTTTGTGTGTGTTGTTATTTTTCTAACGCACTGCTCTATGTTTATATGAAAGAAGGCAGGTCGAAGAAGTCCACCTTGCACTTGGAGCAGAAGGTGGTGAGGTTTGTGATAGTCCTTAGTACTGGTGGGAGTTAATTCCACAGTCTCAAAATGGCACAATCAATTTGTGCATGGAAGATTCTCTTCACCACAGTGACAGCTAAAGATTTAGGGCTGGTCAACAATTTTCTACCAAAACTTGTTTTCAGCAGAATATTGAGTTTTTGACTGAACCAAAATGTTCACAATAAGTGTCTGCTTTCCCCTCAAAATGTTAATTTATTCTGAGAAAACAAAAGCTCCAAAATTGACATTTTATTTCAGATTTTGTCTGGAATTTTTATCCCTTTTCATCCAAAAAAATGAAAACATTTTGGCATTCAGGTTTTTGCTTTTTTCAACAAAATATTGAAAATTTCCACAGAGAAAGAAAACTTTTTCTAACCTGCTTCACTAAAAAATGTCATTTAAAAACAGTAATTAAATCTTAACCACACAATTTGTGTCAAAATTTATAGATGCGGAATCCCAGAACTCAGATTCTATTCAGGAATAGAGGTTGCTAAGAGCACAGCTTGAATGACCTTCCATGTTCAATACAAAATGTACCCCAAAATGCATCCCATGATTAAACAGTAAATAAGAACCTGTTCTTGTGAGGTTTGGAGCACCTCCTACTGTGTGCTGAGTACTCTCAGCTCCAATGGTAACTGAGGGTGCTCATTACCTGGCAGGATCAGGCTCTAATAGCAGAGAGAGAGAGAGAAAAAGAGGTGTAGACAAGGAGAAAATATAATATTATATATTAATCAATCATTTAAGAAAACATTTTTAAACTCAAGCACTTCAAGATAGGCAATCTAAATCCATATTTAGGCAGCTAAACAATTCGCTTCATTTTGAGTCCAAGTCTTTCCATTCTCTGCAAAGGGCATTGGATCAGCTCCTATCTGAATTGGATCAGCCCCTCTGAATATCAGACAGCTTATTTAGGTACCTAAATATGATTAAAGTGTCTAACTTTGGACATACAAATCTGAAAATTTTACTTGTATTTAACTAGTAAAATGATACAAATGTTTTTTTTTAAACGTCTGTTTAGTAAAAAGTAGTTGCCAAAAGTTCACATTAATGTTGCAGAATGAAAAGTGGAAACCTGTGTTTATACATTGTTATTGTTATTATTTTAGGTCATGGAACCAAAGGAGTGTTTGAACTTCTTTCAGGATGGCGCAGAACCAGAGAGAACCTTCCATTCAAGGATAGGGTAGCAGACACCTATTCCGATGTCATGGTCTCCTATACAATGACAAGCTCCTTGTACTTCATAGCCTTTGGTATGGGTGCCAGCCCTTTCACCAACATCGAGGCTGTGAAAGTTTTCTGCCAGAACATGTGTGTCTCCATCCTGTTGAACTACTTCTATATCTTCTCCTTCTTTGGCTCTTGCTTGGTCTTCGCTGGGCAGTTGGAACAGAACCGTTACCACAGTATCTTCTGTTGTAAAATCCCTTCAGCAGAATACCTGGAGAGGAAACCTATGTGGTTCCAAACCATGATGAGTGACGGCCATCAGCACACTTCTCATCATGAGACTGACCCCTACCAGAATCACTTCATCCAGCATTTCCTACGAGAGCATTACAATGAATGGATTACTAACATCTACGTCAAGCCATTTGTGGTGATACTGTATCTCATTTATGCCTCTTTCTCCTTTATGGGGTGCTTACAGATCAGTGATGGGGCCAGCATCATCAACCTCCTAGCCAGTGAGTCTCCAAGCGTCTCCTATGCCCTCATTCAGCAGAAGTATTTCAGCAACTACAGTCCTGTGATAGGATTCTACATCTATGAACCTCTTGAATATTGGAATGGCACTGTGCAAGAAGACTTAAAAACACTGAGCCATGGTTTCAATACAGTGTCCTGGATTGAACAATACTATCAGTACCTGAGAGTTGGCAACATCAGCACCACCAACAAAAGTGACTTTATCAGCATCCTCCAGAGCTCTTTTTTAAAAAAATCTGAATTCCAGCACTTCAAAAATGACATCATTTTCTCCAAGGCTGGAGACGAGAACAACATCATTGCTTCCCGCATGTATCTAGTGGCCAGGACTAGTGAAAACACACAAAGGGAGGTGGTGGAATTGCTGGAGAAGTTAAGGCCACTATCTCTAATACAGAGCATCAAATTCATTGTGTTCAATCCTACCTTTGTTTTCATGGACCACTATGGTTTATCAGTAACTATGCCTGTCCTGATTTCTGGCTTTGGCATCCTGCTGGTGTTAATACTGACCTTTTTCCTGGTTATTCATCCTCTGGGAAACTTCTGGTTAATTCTTAGTGTCACCTCAATAGAGTTGGGTGTGCTAGGCTTGATGACTTTATGGAATGTAGACATGGATTGTATTTCTATACTGTGCCTTATCTACACTTTGAATTTTGCCATAGATCACTGTGCACCCCTGCTTTACACATTTGTACTAGCAACTGAGCACACCCGAACTCAGTGTATAAAAAACTCCCTCCAAGAGCACGGGACAGCCATTTTGCAAAATGTTACTTCTTTCCTTATTGGGTTGGTCCCCCTTCTCTTTGTGCCTTCAAATTTGACCTTCACACTGTTCAAATGCTTGCTGCTCACCAGCAGTTGCACACTACTGCACTGTTTTGTTATTTTACCCGTCTTCCTAACTTTTTTCCCACCCTCCAAAAAGCACCACAAGAAAAAGAAACGGGCCAAAAGGAAGGAGCGAGAAGAGATTGAATGCATAGAGATTCAGGAGAATCCTGATCATGTAACAGCAGTCTGAAAGGCTTAGATAGATATATATTACAAAGCGTTGCACAGAGATGCAGGGAAAGTAGAGCAAAGATCTCAGCTGCTTGCGCTGGCCAGGTGTAACAAGGAAAAGGAAGACCAAGAAGGGGTATTTCATGACACGTAAAGGTGAACTCTTCTAAACAAAATAACAAAAGTGAAAATAATCTAAAAATATTTCTTCGAATTCTCATTCTCCACTAAGGAAGAGTCTGTGGGCCTTCAAGTGGTCTTGAATTTAAAACTCTAGCTCTAAATGTGAATTGATCAATCTGCCACATGTAAGACTGAAGTCGGGGAGTGGGGGAGGGGAAGAGTTATCAGGAAGAGAATAGTGTACGCTAGAATGGTTTGATAAAGTTGCCCGGCAAAAAGCAACAAGGGTTTCAAATGAGAAAAAAGAAAGAAGAAAGTAGGGGAGAGTAAAAATGCCATGATATTTTTCGTATTTCTTTTCTTAAGCGGGTTGGTTAAAGTAAACCTATGCACTTGGGAAGTAGATATTTAAATCAATCTCAGCCAAAGTACTTCCCAACTTGAATATACAGTGTGTAACTATATGCCACAGTTAAAACATTATCATTAATTCAGATGGTAAAGCTATACTGCCATGTGATACAGGTACTGGATATATGGGTATATGGAAGAGGAAATAAGTGTAGGCCATTTGGAAACTCAAAACTTGGTTTCTTGAAAACTGACATTTGACCTTTCTCCCAATGTGGTTATCAAGGACCTCATAATTGATGGTTATTAGTATAAATATATTTTGATACCGGTGAATTCTGGAATTCCCCTTCCATTAACAGATCTTATAAAACTAACCCAGGCCATTACCACTACAATGGTAATTGCAATTACTGCAGCGTTAGCCTCTAGATTCCTAAGTTCTCAGTGTTAACATTAAATGCCGAATATTAATCAAGCAGGAGCTTTATATGTAACGACAGATCACATCCTGTAGACTCAGTGATGTGATCATGCTGTGGCTGAATCAGTTCTGGAGCATGCACTGTATTGGCTTCTATATTTGGTTCAAGGTGCAAAGGTACCTATTTGCGTTAGTAAAACGATCAGTAGAATATGCTTTTTACCATCTGCATAGAAGTATGTTTTAATGTTTGAATGAGACTGAATGAACTTCTAGCTGTAAAGAGCCAGATCAGCCCCTTGGGGGAGTGTTTATTATTATTACTAAATATTTGCGTGCCTGGTTGAATGTCTGCAACATCAAGCTTTGTTATGGCTGTTGAAATTTAATAGAAGGCAGTAAATCTGCACTTACTGCATGACACTAGAATTATGCCATAAAGTATTACAATATGACCTTCCCTGCTTTGTAAACTATACAGCTTAGAAGCTCAAGAGAAAGAACGAAAAGAGACTTAGCCATTTTTTAAGTTAACCCTTAAAGCCAAATTATGTCCTCAGTTATGCCATGTACATCTCCCATCTCAGATAGTGTTTTAAAAGGGCTTGTTTTAGACGCTCTTAAATGCAATCTCGCTTCACGTCAATGAGTGATATACAGTGTTGTTGTAGCCGTGTCGGTCCCAGGATATTAGAGAGTCAAGGTGGATAAGGTAATATCTTTTATTGGACCAACTTCTGTTGGTGAGAGTGACAAACTTAAGAGCTCTGTGTAAGCTTCAAAGCCTGTCTCTCTCACCAACAGAAGTTGGTCCAATAAAAGATATTACCTCACCCACCTTGTGTCATCAATGAGTGATGTCTTCCTGAATATATGGGATCTGTCTGGAAACTATATAAATGAAATGGTAATGGGAAATGTTTGTTATGTCCATTTTAGGATTCCTTTAAAAGATGTCCGAGCTGTTTACCTCTGGAACTGTGATACACTTGCACATATTTGTGTTCATGGTTGGCTTACTCTAGATTTTAGTGTCGATCTGCAAAGAGAGTTACTGATGAGCGTGTGTTCACATATTTCTCTAGAAGGCTTTCTACAGGGAGCTCATTCACTGTTCCATGATGCCTCTCTTCCCTTCCTGCACTGATTTGTGTTTAGGGGGAACCTGAGAAATTCCACTTATCCCACAAAAAGCCATCTGTTCCCTGGTTCTGAAAGTTCATTAACTCCTTCTCTCACCAGGAAATGCAATTTCCCCTTCTCCTCTGTGTTTTTCTGAGGTTTCCATTACCATTTGCTAAACATTGGCCCAACCACTATATTCTATACATAGGCAAAACTCCCTTTAAAACAATAGCAGTTCTTGCCTGCAACAGGACTGGAGGAATCATGGGCCTTATAGTACAAAAAGAGATGGGTCCAAATTGCAAAATTGGAATCCAGATGCAAAGTTCAAGCTCCTAGATCCAGGGTTTGGCCCAAGATATAATGATATTGGGGCTATCTGCACAAGTTGAGATCCATATAAAAACTCTGTTAAAGTTTGGGTGTTGGGGAATATTTGGATTTGGGTTTTGGTTTGGACCCATCTTTAATTGTAGGGCATTACTGACTTCAGTCTGTACCTTTAAGATGTGTAGTTTCCAGCCCTTAAAGGAAAATTCACCAGTACCTGGCAGCCTTTCCCCACTAAACCTGAACCTCTAAGGCACAACTGTAAAGTTTGGGGGACAAAACCTCCAAAAATGCAGGTCTCTCCCTGTGAAAACTGCTAGTGTTCAACCCTGCTGTCAGGAAGAGTGTCCTAATTATTCCCTCCTTTTAAAAAGGGCATTAATTGTATCAAAGTGAACAACATTTTGCATTCTCATAAACATTTCTAGGTCCCTTGTGGAAGAGAAAAGGAGAAAACATTGGAAATTTGTCTTTCCACCCTTTAAACGTAGAGCCAAATTCTCCAGTGTAGCTAAAATCAGATTTTGGCCTTTAACATTTTGCTGCATTTATGCAGAACTGTTCGGGAGGTTGTGATGAGGACATTTTTCATTTTGTAATTACCCATTGCACTTTCCCATTCCAGCTAATCTAATCCTTTATCGCTTATATTAGAACTACGGGATTAACCCTAGGTCCAGAACTGGGTATTTCATACATTATTACTTAATAGAGTAACAATTTTTAGGGCCAAAATAGGTATGAATGCATGGCATTTTGCATGCATAATTTTATTAATACTAAATAGATTTTCAAGATACTGTTTTCAGAGTTATTGTTCTCATCTTTTTATTCCATACTATTTCTCTTTAGGAAATTACTCACCAACCTTTTATGCTTATCCGGGTTTATTTTTGCATCCCAGACTCTTACATTTTCTCTAATGGGAAAAAATAGGAATGTATACGCAATACAGTAGTTCGGTATCATTTGATCTGCTATTTTTCCATCTCGGTACCATATTCTGTTCTTAAATTACACAGTTTGACTCAGACATAACTCCTAGGGTTGCTAACTTTCCAATCTCTCAAAACTGGACACTACAGCTATGATCAAAATTTTCTGCCCCAAATACTTTCCAGCATATACATTGTCAAACAGGCACAACACAGACTCGCCAGCAGCAGTGGAGATACTAGCAAGATACAGTTACAAATGGGATGGATGAGGGGGGCCACGGGGAGAAGGGAAACTGGCTTTGGCTTGCGATTGTTGGCATACAGTTCAGAGCAAACAAACCCTTCCATTTGTAGCAGCACTCGCGTTCCAAGGCAGAGCCCAAGCACCTGGAATCTCCCCCAGCAAAGCAAAACTATTATGAGCTGCTGGGACCAGCACGGGGAGGAGGGGTTTCCCAGCACACAAGGTGCTGGTACCTTTACCTGAGCCACACCCAACCAAAGGCTCAACTCACCAGAAAGAGAAGAGGGAGGCCATGTCTCTCCTGCTCTGTCCAGCAGCAGCTCAGAGGCAAAGAGTTTGCAAGGAGTGATGGGGGCAGAGCTTTCTGCAGCCAGGGAAGGTTCCCGAAGGTGGGTGTGACCCAGCCCTGGGAGCAGCCCATGCAGGGGAAGAGGAAGTGTCTTTTCCCCAGCCCAGCCAGGACTAACAGCAGGGGTCCCTCCAGCTCTGCCCTTCTCCGGCTCTGGGACCAGTGCTTGGGTTTTAAAGGGGCCTTGGGCTGGCTGGGTGGGGGGGCGACATCGGAATTGCAGTAACCGGACTTCTGGTATCCAGTCAGTACTTCTGACCAGAGACTGTACAGGTCCCCTTAAAACCAGACACCTGGCAACCCTAGTAACTCCATCAGCTTCAGTAGAGTTACTCCATATTGAACTAAGATCTGACCCATTGTCTTTAAGGAGGTACCACACAAAATCTGTTTGATATCATCTCTATACATTTCCTGAACTATTCAATTTAGTACATTACTATTAATTATAATACTAGGTTGTTGGGTTTACTGCTTAATTGTTTTTTGATACACATTCAAAACAGAACAAGGTCCTGAGTGTTTCTAGTTCCCACTGATGTCCCTGTGGGTATTAAGGCCAACCAAGGTTAGGCCCTTCATGAGCAAATATAGGTATGCAGTGCTAGGAAAAGACACCACAACATGATGAGATGGGGAAATATATTCTTCATCCACCAAAACCAAAAATATGGGAAGACAGGCTCTGACGCAACACAATAAAAGTTCACTAGGAAGGAAATTCAGAGTTAAAGGAGAACTAGAACATGTGTGAAGCATGTCATGTGAAATATGACCTAGGTCCTGCAATGCCATCATATAATGGGAATACGGACACTCTAAGGCTAAATCCTGACCTATCCCATCTCACCCAGTAAGAGGATTTTGAAGGCAGGAGCTATGCAAGCTTTGGGGAGAACAGAAGCATCTTGTCCTATTCCCCCAGCTCATCCATCACCCAAAATACCCCCACAATTGCCTAGGGTTGTGAGTTCAATCCTTGAGGGGGCCATTTAGGGAACTGGGGTAAAAATCTGTCTAGGGATTGGTCCTGCTTTGAGCAGGGGGTTGGACTAGATGACCTCCTGAGGTCCCTTCCAACCCTGATATTCTATGATTCTAGATAGAACAACACTTCAGAACAAGGGGTGACAGA